AAAGCCAGCCCAAAAGAGAAATCATGAGGGATAAAACCACAGGCATTGATGTAGACTGGAGGGGTGTCCAAGCCACTGGGAATACACATCTTTGCCCTTGGTGCTTGACACATGCCTATAAGATTTGATGTTTGCCTTGTTGGGTTTCAGTCTTGCTTGATCCCACTGGTTTATATCCTCCTATTTTTCCCTTTTGGAAAGAGAAACATTCCTTTTTGGAATGTTTTCCTTGTGCCACTATATGTCAGCAGTTAACTTTGATTTTTATAGGGGCTCACAGTTAAGAATTTGCCTTAAGTCTCAGAAGTGAATTTGGACTTGAATTTTTCAGCATTACTGAAAATATTGGGGCTTTGGTAACTCTTAGAGTTGGACTATACGTATTTTTGTATAGAATGTGCATGAGCCTTTCGGGGGCTGGGAACAGAATGTTATGGTTTGTATCTAGATGTCCCCCCAATGCCTCATATGCTCATAGGTGGGGCTTGTGGAAGGTGCTGAATTATGGGGGTATTATAGCTGACTCGCTGCTAGGAGCTGGGGTGGAGAGGCAGGTCACTATGGGTGTGACCAGAAGGGTGTATTTCAATTCCCAGCTCCTCCCTTGACCTCTATATGCTTCCTGAAAATGAGCTGCTTGTCCTCTGCCATGGTGTTCTTCCCTCTAGTGGTCTGACCACGGACTGAACTGTGAGCCAAAATAAACCTCTCCTCCTTTAACTGTGGGTGTTGGGTATTTGGCTTAAGCAAGTAACTAATGTTCAGGAAGCCTATGGCGGACCTCAGCAGCTGTTACTAATTCCTTAGGTTTAAAGTGTCGAGAATGAGCTGAGCATGGTAGTGTGCACCTATAATTCCAGCACTTAGGGGAGGCTGAGGCAGGAGATCACCAGGAGTTCAAGGTTAGACTGGGCCACATAATGAGTTCAAGGCCAGCCTGAACTACATAGTGAGACACTATCTCAAAAAAAAAAAAAAGTGTCAGGAATGTCCACAGTTGGTCATCAGAATTTGTTCAATGAACAAATAAGCCAAGTCAGATCTAACTTCTCACATTTCACTTCAGAATTTGGCAATACTTACCTGAATGCACAAGTGATTATTCTACTTCTGCTCAATATTTTACATTTTATTTGTACATCTAAAAACAATCTGGTAATAGTATGGATCACTGGCAAGCATCTGTAATGAGGTGTTTGTCTTAGAGAAGATGTGAAATGACCTCAATTTTCTTCCAAATCATAGGTAATACTCTTTTAACTTTTGTTGTTATAAAATTAAGTGACTAAGGTCATTTAGGATATACTGAAGTAACTTTGATGGAACAAGTTTCTAACTTCATGTCACAACACACTAGCATAGCCAAGTTCTCTTGTGATGTTCCTTCCTCAAGGCAGAGACAACAGACATGATCTTGACATTGCTGTGGAACTTGAGTCACAGCAAAATACAATCACCAAACCACCCCCCCACACAACATTTAATTTTGTTTTTTTTGAGACAGGGTCACACTGTGTAGTTTAGGCTGGCAATGAATTCTGGCCTCAAACTCACAGCTGCCTCTCAAGTGCTGGGATTACATATGTGCACCATCATGACCAGCTCACATTTAATTTTTAAAGCCTTGAAAAGGCTATTTTGCTTTGGGAGAATCCCGTTTCTTGGGACCCGTGTGGCTATTTCATATGTTCCCATTACTTGGCTATTTGTACGGGCAGGCACATCAGTTTGGATGAGGGGAGATCCAACATTGCTTTATTACAGAATGAGTTTCCTTTGGTCTCCTAGACAGACACTGTGTATATACTGGGCTGTCACAGCACCCTTATCAGTTTGTTTTTTTTGTTTTGGGTCGTTGGACTTTCAAGGCAGGCAGCAGAACCACTGAGCTAAATCCCTGGCCTACCCTTGTCAGTTCTGGTGGTAGGCATGTTACAAAGAGGGAAATGACATAAAACTGGAAGACGGGAGAGATTTCTGTTGAGTTTCATTGGTGATCATCCTGGTAAGGAATATATTGGGTACCTCTGCACCTATCCAAAACAATTCAAACCTCAGCCATGATGGTTAATTTGGCACGTCATAGCTGGGTACAGTGGTGAACACCTGTAATCCCAGCATTTTGGAGGCTGAGGCAGGAGGTTCGCCGTGAGTTCAAGCCTATCCTAAGCACACAGTGAATTCAAGACCAGCCTGAACTACACAGTAAGACGACGTTAAAAAATGTGTGTGCGTGTGTGTGTGTGTGTGTGTGTGCACGTGTGTGAACTTAGCTGGGCCATGGAGTTCCGAGATATTTAATCACTCGTTATAATGAATATTTCTGGGCGAGATTAACATTTAACTTGGTAAACTGGGGGGGGGGCTGCTTTCTCTAATGGAGATGGGCCTCATATAATCAGGTGAAAGCCTGATTAGAACAAAAAGGCTGACCTTCCCTAAGTAGAAGAGAATTTTCCTTCTTGACTACCTCTGAAATGAAATGACACATTGGCTTTTCTTCTGCCTTCAGACACAAATGGAAACATCAGATCTTCCTGAATTTTAAGCCTTCTGACATTTAGACAAGAACTACAGCATTAGTTTTCTTGGTTCTTTGGCCTCTAGACTCAGGTCAAAACCAAATCCCCAGCCCCCTTCTCAAATGAATCCTGAATAGTGCATATCTGCATATCCCAGGACTTCTCCCTACTTTTCAGGAGCTTGTACACCAATCTAAACAGTGTTAGCTGCCAGGTGTGGTGGTGCGTACCTGTAATCCCAGCACTTGGGAGGCTGAGACACGATGATCTCCACGAGAGTACAAGCTGGAGGCCAGCCTGGGCTACACAGTGAATTCAGGGCCAGCCTAACCCTGCTTCAAAAAAACCAAAAGTGCACCCCCAGATGAGTACTGCGATGGTCTAGAAGAGAGGTAAAGCACACAACACATTGCACCAGAAAATGATGTGTCAGCCTTTATTAACCAAGAGTGAGGCCAAGCCCGAGAGTTTCCTTTTAAAAAAAATCCCAACTTTGTTTATGGCAAATAATGATTTAATTCTTAATGACTTTTAATTATAAATATGTTCAATACCACAAAACAAAAATTGATTGCTTCCCAATCATTCTTCTGAGATTAAAATACAAGTGTAAAACAGGTTAAAACAAGATTCACCCCAATGACTTAAAAAATAACTCCAATTGAAAGACATTTCAAACACTGTATGTAGAACTCAGGACCAAAATAACTTTAAAACATTTTTATCCTTGAGGTAGCACAATAATGCTGAATTAGGTATCATTTATTACAAGCTTAAAAAAACAATGAGGACTCTACCCTTCAATCAAAGTGGGCTAAATGATTTTCTGCAAATCCCCCAGGAGGTGAGTGACAATTATCTTACTTTTTTTTTTTTTTTTTTTTGAGTATAAAGATAGCCCTGCCAGTGTGTAAAAGGAAACCCATGGGAAGGCTGCTTCCCATAAAATAGACATTAGAATCACTGAAGAACATCAGCAGTCAAGACAGGAAGAACAAGAGGTAACAGTGAAAAATCAAAACAACTTGTATCTTAGCAAGGTTGATTTTACAAATACATGTCAAAAACAAAAAGTTCAACATCAGCCCACTGAAAAGAAAAGATAAAAGATGACATTTGTGGGTCCCTTTCCTTTGTTTCTGTACAAAATGCTTCCACTTTTCCTTCCTTCCTTCCTTCCTTCCTTCCTTCCTTCCTTTCTTTCTTTCTTGCTTTCTTTCTGGTACTGGGGATCGAACTCAGGACATTGCACTTGTGAGGCAGGTGGTGGAACCACTGAACTAAATCCCTGACCCAAGCATCCGGTTTTTCTAAGTGAGAGAAGATTGTACTCTGTGACATGACACAACACGCTGTGTCCATGGTGCCTGCCCAGAATCTAGGCACTCGGGATGAACACCATCTCTCCTGGCTGGAGGACTACTTCCCACTTTGCTGCTGAATTCACTCACTAATCTGCTCCAAGAAAAGCTCTCTTCTGGTTTCTGAGACTAAATAGCAATTTTATGTATAATATAATTCTATATGAAGACTATGAACCAAGGGGACAAGAGCACACCAACCTTTCCTTCAGAAAATTCAGCCAAGAAAAGAGAAAACAGGGCCAAAAGGAAGGAAAACACTGCAGGTTGGACCTCAAGCCTAAGCCTCTCAGAAACATTCTGTGCCATCTAAAATCCAAAACAAAGATAGGAAAGAGGGTATAAAGCTCCAACCCTTAGAAGAAAACATGAAACAACAAAGGAATTTCTTTCCAATATGTATTCCTCTCTGTGAGGCTCAGCTGTTAAGTGTCAGGCTCGCCTGGCACAAAGGGGACACCTCAGGCCTCAGTCAGACTTGGTCTGTCACCTCTGATTCTTCAAGCTGCAAAGGGAACTGGAACACTATGATGATGGCTTTGCTCTTTCTCATTCATGCTGCTCCCTTTAATGTCTCCTTTCTTCAAGCTAGGGGCCCACCCTCTTAATCCTCTGCCCCAGGGGAGTCACATGCACTGAGGGACTGGACTGATGGGCCTATGTCCAATGGAGTTGGAGCAGGAAGACATGAACTTGATGAATTCTAACCTGTAAAATGGTAACCATCGATGTGTCAGGGTGTCAAGGAGAGCTTTGTAAAAGGGAAGACATAGTGGGATTTGTGAGAAGGCCCATACCTACCCGTAAATGGCACAGGATTCAAAAAACCCTAACCAATGCTGGCATGAAGAAATGGCAGGGGGCATCTTCTCAGCATTCAAACACAATCCTAACACGGTCTGAGGCTGGACTTCTGAGTCGCTCTTGAAGCCCAATGCACCTGCTATCTTTGCAAGAAACAGGTGTGGTTCTTACCTGGTAAAGTACAAAACCTGCTTTCTGAATTTACTTATATACCATACAAAAGAAATACTTAGGAAAATGTGGGATTACCACATGGGCTTTCCCAGTGCTAGCTGCCTGTTTTGGAGTATTAGTTGCATATAGCCTTTCATGATTCTGAGAGTTGCAAAATAGGTTACCCAGGGTAGTCTGAAAAAGAGTCCTACTTCATGGATCCCTTGTGGCATCTGATTCTAAATCACTCTGAAGAAAAAAAAAAAATCATTCTGAAATATAGCTAATTAGGACAATTCATAAGAATTTTACCTGCTAAAATTAAAAGGTTAAAATTTTTTAAAATACAAGTTAAATTACTGTCTTAGGGGATGAGCAATTAGAACCCAAAATATCCCAACATCTTAATTAAAAAGGTCTTCACAGTAATTCATTGAAACTGTTAATGATGCCTTTTGTTTTTGTGTGTGTGGTGCTGAGGACTTAGCCCAGGGGCTCTTGCTTGCTGGGTGAGTACACTACCACTGAGCTATATCCCCAGTCCCAGGGATGTCAATTTCTGGAAATTAACACAAAGTTGAACTTTAGAATGAATGTCTGAGGCAGCTGACAAGTTCCATATAGATGAATACATTCCAAGGGGAATTCCCCTAACAGGTTTTTTTGTTTTGTTTTGTTTTATTTTGTTTTGTTTTGAGACAGGGTCTCACTCTGTAGTTGCCTCGAACTAACAGAAATCTTCCTGCCTTAACCTCCTGAGTGCTGGGTCTACAGGTGTGCTCCACGCACCCAGCCAAGGAAGAAGAGAAGAGAAGAGGAAGAGGAAGAGGGAGAGAGAAGAGAGAAGATAAGAGGGATTCTAAATAATTAAAAAAACTGACAGTTCGACAACCAAACTATGCAACAACTCGAGGAGAAGGAATGGGCTGTCTGTGTAGCACTTCTTGTCAGCATACTGCCATTAGGTACTAGAAGCAACTGGAAACAAGAAATAGCTGGACCTGCTGAGAAGAATATTTAGCTCAGATCAAGTAATGGCACCTCCAACCCTGGCTACTTCTACCGAACCACGCTCTAAGCAAATGAAATAAATGGCCACCCCTGGCTCCTTATAAATGGATGACAATTCACTCATGCATGCAAACCTCAGAGGTTAAACAAAACATTCACCAAAACAAAAGAAAAAACTTCTAACCCAGAAAACCTTTCCTTGCTCTCTACTACTTGTAAAATGTGCTGAATTCAAGTATTTTTGCTCTAACATGGGTTCTACGCAGTCTGCTTTGGAACTAATCTTTTATGTCTTTCCATAAGCATCACCGTGGATCTGAAAACAGCCATAATGTGTGAAGCTGTTAGCAGACCGAATAATGTCAGTGGACCACAGACTCCATCACATCTGGTACCACTTTCTACTATAAAACCAAAGGCAGCAATTGTAAACACATATGTGGACTTTCTCAAAAGATACATGAAGAGACTGAAGGCTACATTTCTTCCCTTGAAAAAGATGGGAGGACCGTGTCTACAGTTATACAACAGGTTTCTGCAGACTTTATGGTAACTTCCAAAAGCAACAGTAGCAGCAAGAGAGGAAAGGAGGATGTTTATACTTTGGACTTCATATCAGGCACTTAATTGTTGGAGAGACATGCCATCCTAAACCAAAGATGCGAAAACTGGGTTGGAGTAATCATTACAAGTGGTTTAATAATGGGCTTTCAGAAGCAAAATGGAGGTGTGGGTCAAACCTCTGCTCATCCTTTAGTGCTGACTTTCAAATTTTCTAAATGCCCAAAACCATAGCAATCGCAGCAATGGTGGCAACAGCAGGGATGGTTCTGTTGTGTCTGTTTTCTGTATGTGTTCTGTGGCTGACCAGAAGGGTCTGGTGTTACACTGAGAAGGCTCTGGGATGTGGCATATCTATTGTCCAGGGTCGGTCAGATCCAAGCTGGAGCCAAACATCTTCACTAGCTGTTCTTCATAGTGTGAGATGTTTCTCTTCATAATGTCCATGCAGGGCCCCAGAAGTCTCTCAAATGCTTGAACATCCATAACTACATTGTTAAAAAGAAGTGAGGGAGAGAATCAGTTCTCTACCCTAACAATTCAAGTCATTTTCTGCATTCTAGCCTTCTCCTAACTGTACCCACAGGTACTTGGATAAGAGTTGTCTCCACATGAATGCAGCAAAATGGGGTCATCTAAGTTTAGGATTTGCAAGCCACATGTGGTAATGCACACCTGTAATCCCAGAACTCTGGAATACTGAGAATAGATGATTCCAAGTTTAAAGCCAGCTTGAGTAACTTAGCAAATTAGCAAGACATTGTCTCCATTTAATAAATTTTAAAAAAGGAAATTTCATCCAAGACAATAAATTCAGTAAGTTTAAGACTTGGAGAGTCCAACAGCACCTGTTTGCCGTTCTCCCACAGCCTTGCCTCCATTGCTACTCTTTTGACATGACTGGATGGTGTCATCTGTCTCCCTCACATGCTGTACTCTGCTCAGAAACACTTACTAGGGCACTGGGAGTAGCTCGGTGTTGCAGTGTGTGCACAGCATAGGTGAGGCTCTGGGTTCAATGCCAAGCAAACCCCCACAGAAAACGCTCATTAAAAGAAAATATTAACCCATCTCTGGCTGGTGATACAAACTGTCCATGCCTACATGTAAGTGAGAGAGCTGGTGGAAAAAAATAATGCACATTAGAAAAAAAGTATTAATGCATGAAGAATTTTTCTTACCTAAGCAGGTGACATTCCCAACTGCATAAACCGAAGCAGCTCTAGGTTTGTTGGTGACCAGTGCAAGCTCTCCAAAGTACTGCCCCTTGTGGGAACGGGCAATCTCAACCTCCTGGCTCCCAGCATCCTTGTTTGTTTTAGTCTACATCAGGCAGAGAACATTATCTGAACTACAAGGATCACAGCTGGCTATGTCCAGTTACATACACTCACACTTCTCAGTACACTCAGCATAGTTACAGAGAAACTAACTGCACTCTACGCACATCATGTGAGCTCCATGCACTCAACTCAGTGGACTGGTTTCAACAGAAGAGTTGGCTTTCCCTGGGGCTCTACTGAGACGTAGTATTTTTCAAGTAATGGCTAAATATCAAGAATAAAGGTGCAAGCCAGGTATGGTGGCGCACACCTGTAATCCCAGCACCCAGGAGGCTGAAGCAGGAGAATCGCTGTAAATTCAAGACCAGCCTGGGCTACATAGTGAGTTCCAGGTCAGTCTCAACTACACAGTGAGACCCTGTCTCAAAAAAACAAGAATAAAGGAGCAGACCATTTTCTTGGAGATGCCAAATTGTGCTATACAATGAGAAAGACAAGGTCTTTTTCTAATTCTTTCTAAATTATGAACTTCTCAGATAATAAGCCGCAACCTTGGATTTCTTCTCCTCAGTCTCTTTGAGACTGCCTGTCTTAAACTGTTCTTTAAAAAGATAGATTTTCTAAGTATAATCTATATTCTGAATTAATTCCCCTACCTCCCCATTTTTAAGAACAGTTAAATAAACATTTTATAATCCACTACATTGTATTTATTTTGTTTTTTTTTTGTTTTTTTTGGTACCGGGGATTAAACTCAGGACCTTGCACTTTTGAGGCAGGTGGCAGAACAACTGAGCTAAATCCCCTACCCCTACATTGTATTTAACATCTAGAGTTTCATATTTTTTTAAACCCATCTGCTGAGCTAAGCAGTAATTTGAGTAAAAAAACTATAATTTATTAATAAGAATTAAGTCTTCATCTCTACAAACCACTTTATTTTATAGGCAAAGAGAGAAATGTTTACTTGTTCTGAAGGGTAAATTCACTAGCTTACATGGTTTGACTTTTCCTCTTTCCCCACTTCTACAGTGACCTGTGAGCGCTGAAGCTGGTTGGTCCCAAGAGAGCCGCGTTCTTTTTGCCAATTATACAGCAGCTCCAGGACTGCAAACACTCACTTCCATTGAGCTCCTTCTCTAGGATAGCACTTCTAACTCACACACATACATCAACTCCCTTATAATGCAAATTTCCTGATAATGGAGATTCTGACTCAGCAGATCTGGGATATAGCCAATAGCTCTGCCTTTTGTTTTGTTCTTTTTTTTTTGGTACCTGGGATCAAACTTGAGACCTTGTACTTGAAAGACAGGCAGTAGAATCACTGAGCTAAATCCCCAGCTCTTGTTTTGTTTTTTTGAGTCTCATTATATAGTTCAGAGTGGCCTCAAACTCCAGGTGATCCTCCTGCCTCAGCCTCTTGAGTGCTGGGGCTACAGCATGCATATACCACCATGCTCAGCAGGCTGTGCCTTTTTGACAAGTCCTCCAATTCTCAGATGTCATGCTGTGACAGGTATCACCCACATAACAAACACTCTGCGTGATGATAGGAAGTGCCAAAGAACATTTAAGAAACAGAGAGGTAGCTCATGCTTGCATTCCCAGCACTCAGACTTGAGGAAGGAGGACTGCCACAAGTTCAAGGCCAGCCTGGACTATACAGCAAGGGTCTGTCTCAAAAAACAAACAAACAAACATACAGATAAATGTCAGTTGTTGAAAAACTTTAAGAACACAGAACTATCAAACTACTATTTCATGTGAAACAACAGATCTATTTTTAATTAAGAACCAAGTGACTTAGCCCAACGTGGTGGTAAATGACTGCAATCCCAGCACTCTGGAGGCTGAGGGAGGAGGATTGCAGCCCTCCCAGGGAAACTTAGCAAAACCCTGTCTCAAAAAGGGCTGGGGATGTAGCTTAGTGCAATGGGCCTGGGTGCAATCCCTAGTCACACACACACACACACACACACACACACACACACGCGCGTTCACACACACACACACACACACACACACACACACACGCGCGCGCACGCACGCGTGCACGTGCACTAAACTGTAATACTTATTTTCTCTCTTTTCTCCATACTTATTAACCTATACTAAGTATATTTTACCAACGGGTTTCATACATAACTCACTATTTTTGTTTGTTTGTTTTTTGAAACAAGGTCTTACTATGTAGTTAAGGCTGGCCTTGAACTTACTATGTAGTCCAAACAGGTCTTGAACTTGCAGTGATCCACCTGCCTCAGCCTTCCAAGTGCTGGGATCACTGGTATGCACTATCTCTTATTATTTTAACACAATCTATGTTCTTCAAAAATATTTTTCAAAAAAGTAGAGAGAAAAAAAAAGGAAAGAGAGAGAGAGAAAAAGGAAGCATAGTGATGATGGACTTGCTGGTAAGCCTCACTCCCTCATTTATAGATCACTAATTTTCTAGCTCTCCTCATCTAACATTTTATTTTATTTATTTTTTGTACCAGGGATCGAACTTGGGCCCTTGTGCTTAGGAGACAGCGGAACCAATGAGCCAAGTCCCAGCCCCTTGTTTCATTTTTAAGACAAGGTATCACTGTGTAGTTCAAGCTGGACTTGACTTATTATGTAGTCTAGGCTGACCTCAAACTCCTGGCGATCTCTTGTCTCGGTCTCCCCAGTGCTGGCATTACAGGTGTGTAACACGATGCCTGGCTCTCAAATGGCCAAAATAATCCATAATGTTCTAGAGATCTCCCTGACAGGACTCTAAAAAGGGAACTTTCTTCATATTCATCCCATATGTATTTTTCATTATATAATTTCCCCATTTTCTATTATGGTTATATTTTTCTTATTTGTCTGTGTGTCAATATTCTTCATATCATTAATTATAAGGTAGAGGTGAAGGCAGGAGCACCAGAAGGAAACTAATCCCACATCACTGCAATGATGGCTTGATACCCTGAACACATCTTACAATTTGACACAGTACTTCCTGTGTGTGCACCTGGTTCCTGTGTCCTCACACCATCCACACATACTCACCTTGCTCCTAATCATGACGCGCACTTCACCAGACTTGATGATGTAAAAGCTGTCAGCCTTATCACCCTGAAAGACAGAAGGAGGTCAGAGACACACATAGCATGTGTAGCCCAGACTAGCCTTGAGCTCATGGCAATTCTCCTGCCTCAGTGTATGCCACTACACCCACCTTCATTTTACATTGACTTTTGTACAAGGTGAAAGACAGGGATCTAGTTTCAATCTTCTACATAGGGTATCTAATGTTCCTAGCACCATTTGTTAAAGAGGCTATTTTTTTCTCCAACATATGCTTTTTGACTCCTCTGTTAAGAATCTGAGGGCTCTAGTTGCATTGGTTTGTTTCTGTGTCCTTGATTCTATTCACTGGTCTATTTTGGTGCCAGTATCATACTGTTTTTATTACTATGTCTTTGTAATATAATTTGAAAATTTGATGCCTCCAACCTTGCTCTTTTTGCCTAGGATAGCTTTGTTATTCTGGGTCTTTTGTGTTTCTATATGAATTATAGGATTTTTTTTCCAGTTCTATGAAGAATATCTTTAGAATTTTTTTATTAGAATTTTGATGGGGATTACAATGAATCTGTAGATAGCTTAGTTCACTATTGGTATATAAAAAGCTACTGATTTATTAACATGATTTTGTATCCTGTAGAGAAAATCTTAATAATTTTGTGACAACTGTTTAAAGTAGGGCATAAAAGTACAAACTAGAAAAAAGGAGAAAAAGATGATAAACTAGGTGTGTCAAAATGAAAAATTTTACCCTTGAAAAGCTACCATTGAGCCAGGTGTGGTGTTGCACACCTGTAACCTCAGCACTTGGGAGTCTAAGGCAGGAGAATCACCATGAGTTTTAGGCAGCCTCAGTTATACTGTGTGTTCAAGGCCAGCCTGAACTACAAAGCAAAACTGAGTCTCAAAAATCCAAAAAGCAAACCAAACCAAAACAGAACCAAAGCTACCACTCAGAAAAATGAAAAGATGAACCCCAAACAACCACAGACTGTTAGAATTACTTGCAAATTGTTTGTCCAATAAAATATACTCAGACTATGTAAAGAAGTTTACAAAGAGATATCACTTCATATTGACTAGAATATCTAAATTAAAAAGACTATCAATACCAAGTATTAATGAGGATAAGAGCAACTGGAATTTCTATATATTGCTGGTGAGAATGAAAAGAGGTACAGTCATTTTTCAAAACAATTTGGCTGCTTGTTACAGTTAATATACATTTACTACAAGACCCAGCAATTGCACTCCAAAGTATTCACCCAAGATAATAAAAATGTAAGTCGAGCTGGGCATGGTGGTGCACACCTATAATCCCAGTACTCAGGAGGCTGAGGCAGGAGGATTGCTGTGAGTTCGAGACCAGCCTGGGCTACATCGTGAGTTCCAGGTCAGTCTCAACTACATAGTGAGACTCTATCTCAAAACAATACACACACACACACACACACACACACACACACACACACACACTGAACATAGTGGCACATGCCCATAATCCTAGCACTTGAGAGGCTGAAGCAGGAGGATTGCTGCAAGTTCAAGGCCAGTTTGGGCTATGTAATGAGTCCAAGGCCAGCCTGAATTACAGAGCAATTCTAAACCCCCCTCCTCCTTCCCCAAAGTCGTATATGCAGATATTCATAGCAGCTTTATTCATAATTGCCCCAAATTGGGAAGAAGCCAAATGTTCCTTAACTGGTAAATGGAAAAGACAAATCATGGTATACCCATATAATGACCAATTACTCAGCAATAAAAAGGATTATCTACTGATACATATAGCATGGACAAATTTCAACAATATTATACTAAGAATCCAGACACAAAAATCTATACACTGTTATGAATTATGACTCCATTTATATGAAATTATGGAAAAGGAATTGCTACTGTGACAGCAGATCACTGGTTTCTAGGAATGAGGTTGTAAGAAAGAATACTGACTACAAATACAAATGCAAGCACTGTTTGGGGTGATGGAAATGCAGTATACCATGGTTGTGGAGATGGTTCTGAAACTCTTCCAATTAAAACAAACAAATCTCATAAAACATAGTTGATGATTTAGTGGGTCTGGTGTAGGGTCCGGTGTAGGGTCCATTTGTATTGGTAACAATTTCTACCATTCCTACATAAAGCTGATGCTGCTAGTCTGAGAAACCTTGGTCTAAGATACTGCCAAGAGTGGCCTATAGTAAGATGAGCATCATCTTACTCCTATCAATTCATTTCCACGAACAGACAACACAGAAAGCACTGTGGCTTCTTAGATCTGACATACTTCCTAATTCCTAAAATCAGTGTGAAGGATCTATAGCATGAGGCCTATAGCTCCACCTACAGGACTGAGGACTCCTAGTCCCAGCTCTGTGCTAAAATACAGTCACATCACCCAACCCAGAACAAGGACTTCCTAGTGCCCTTGTCAGAATGCAGGCAGAGAAGCTTATACTTGAAAAACACTCACTACACACATAAAATGCAAATACAATAGGCAAAACTATTACACAGCACTATAATTACAATGGTTTGGCCTACTGTGGGGATTCTTAGTGTCCAAAAATAACACGAGAAAAAGATGCAAGAAAATATTAAAGATTGCCTATAGATAAAGATATCTAATCACTGAACTCTCAGGACACTGGTCCAAACCAGAGTTAGAGTTAGCTAACAGGATACCTGTGCATCAAATATACAGCAGGCAGCAGGCACAAACCATTAATCTTCTCCAGGTTTTAACAGTCATAAACAAAGTTTACTCAAAACAAAATGACATCCAAAATAACAAATACCAGAAAACCAAAAAAGGTGAATGAAAGCAAGAGCCTGCATATATTGTGAGATGAACATCAATGGGCCGCAGAGGACCCTGCAAGAAGTGAGGCACAGCATTCAGATAGTGACTTGTAGGAAAGGAGCTTGTAAGGTACTACTCACCTGAGTGATTATACACTCTCCATCCTTATAGTTCTTTTCTCCTATCACATCCACAATCTTCATTCGTTCTGACACCTGAAACAATGGACACACAAATTATCAGGAAGATTTTACTGAAAGCCATCCTATCTAAATAGAGATGCCTTAGAATAGTAGGTTTTGAAAAATCTAATGATAGTTTAACAGCTTCTCCTAATGTTCACAGACAAACTTCTATTTAGACTTTACCTCTAATGATTTAAGGACTGGCACAGACTCAATAAATGATTCAAACATCTTCCTCTTGTTTGCATTGTTTTTTACTATGATTCTTCTAAAAGTCACCCGGTCCTGCAAGAAAGAATATGAAAATTCTAGTACATCCCACTGTAAGAGAACATCTATGGTTTAATTAATTGGGCCACAGCAAATGTTAGAGGACTAGGGAAATAACTGTGTTGACTGAGCATTTAATGATACTTCAATCTCAGAATCATCACTGGAAAAAATAAATGCCTGTAGTTTGAGCCAGACAGAGGCCCCATATACTGTAGCTTGCTGTTCAGCAGTCAATGGGTACTATACATGCATCATAAATAGGACATAAACCAAAAGAGTTTCATCAAATATTTATGTGCTCATAGTCATTAATGTCAAAAGACACCCCCTACACCACCACCACCCTTTTAAAAATCAAGACAGGATCTTGCTACACAGTTCAGGTTAGCTTTGAACTCAATATGTAGCCCAGGCTGTCCTTGAACTCACAATGATCCTCCTGCCTCGACCTCCAAATGCTGGGATTACAGGTGTGCACTACCATGCCTGCTCAAAAAGACACCTTTCTTGAGAGCTTGTTTGGAGGTTCTAGCAAGGGAGCGAAGGTACCCATATAACCCTGACCTTGGAAATGGTCCTCCTCTATGGGTGTAGGGGAGGGTTCCCCTCTTCAACTGAGCATACAGCTTCGGAAGGGATGCACACAGAGTGGTGAGGTAGGAAAGAGATACCCACCTAACCAGCCAAATCAGCTGAATCAACCCTGGCACTCAGTGGGGTGACAGATATTGAAGCCAGATCACCCTCACATCTAAGACACCCTTCCAAAAAAGAGGGAACTAAAACAATCTGATGGTTCCTGCCCTCAAGGAGTTTACAACGTTAATTAAGAGATAATATAAAATATATAGGAATTTAAAAGTTTATAGTTCAAATAGCATAAGAAATGTGCTAGATCAAAGCACAGAATAAAAATGCACAGAATTTCCAAGTGGGCCAGAGACTACAGTAGACAGGAGAGATCAAAAATAGTTTTACAGCAAAATTTGTTTGGGACCTGAAGGAAGGAAAGAGTTTGAACTAACAAAGAACAAGGGAGGATACTCAAGAAGCAGTTAGGCATGTGAAAAGCACCATGACCCCAGTGAGTAATGGGCTCTCATGAGTAATTAACCAGAGCTACAGCCAAGCACTTCTCAGATATGTATGAGAGGGACACAAAGCTAGGAGAATGTTACCTGCTTAGTCTAAGGCTCCTAAATGTGTAAGCAGTGATCTGTATAATAGGATAAAAGTACTTTTCTTTCACCTCTGGCAGAGCAAAAATAGTAACCATGTTTAGATTGATTTTGGGGGGATACCAGGGATCAAACTTGGGACCTTGAGCTTGGGAGGCAGGTGGCAGCACCACTGAGCTAAATCCCTGGCCCAGATGTGATGTATTTTATTTTATTGTATTGTATTTATTTTTTCATTGAGTTTATTGGTACATTTTAGGTGTACAATATGACATTCCCTCATTGAAAATTTGTACCTTTATATGATATATCTTGGTTATTTTTTCCCCATTCCCCTGCCTACCCTTTAACTGCTCCACCCCTCCCTATTTACAAAGACTTTGTTTCTATTTTTTCCTTTCCACTACCCTTCCTTTCCCCTTTAGAACTTTTCTTCTTATTTCACATTATCTATTATACATTTTGAAGTATAGTATTGAGTTTTGAGTCAAGGTCTCACTATGTAGTTTAGGTTGGCTTGAACTTGTGGTAATCCTCCTGCGTCAGCCTTTTGAGTGCTGAGATTATAGGTATGCACGACCGTGCCTGGTTTATTTTAGGATTCTTTTTCCTTTTAGCACTGGGGATCAAACTCAGGACCTTGTACTTGCCAGGCAGGTGCAGCACCACTGAGCTACATCCCTGGCCCTTATTTTAGAATTCTTGATGACCAAGCAGAAGTAGAGAAATCACACAGAAGACAGTTGAGCTGAGATGTCTAAACAGGCTTCCCTCACTTGTATTAGTCAAAGAATTATCTGGCTCAATCCCATGTTATCTCTAATTGGCTTAACCACACAAGTTACCTACACCCCTTCTCTAAACTGCTGTATAAACAATTGCTCTCTGGCATTTACCTTGATTCTGATCCATTTTCTTCACTATCAGTTGTATGAAAAGAATCATCCAATCTCTGCTTGCTTTAATACACTGCATCATTTAAAATATTACTTTCATACTTTGGAATGCTATGCCATCATCTTTAGAATTCAGTCTCAATATGTTTTCTGGGGTAATCTAGGCAAAGAGTACAGTGGACTCTCAAGTTACTACTGGCCTAATATACAAACAATTTGGTTTATAACTGGCATTTTAGTTTTAATTTACAACCAAAGTCTTGAGTTACAACCTAAATGCTGTCCACTTGTACTTCCAGACTATCTCAGATACAGATTAACCTTTAAAGATTTCTGGAAAGAACATTACAACATCCTTTCCTGTGTGGGGTTTAACTGAGAAATCCTGGGCCAATCTGTCTCTAAGGATGTGGCCTAAAATTATACAGGAGTGAGACTCTGAAGGCTGTGTACAGGAGCCTGACCAACTTGAGCTATAACTAGCCCTCACAAAAGAACTGAGTTCATAAGTCAAGGGCCCACTGTACTATGGAAAGAGGAAAACTAAGAAAATGGCAGTATTTGAGAGGCAAGGCAGGAGAATCACAAGCTAGAGGCCAGCCTAGGCAACTCGGTGATACAACAAAAAGAGCTGGGGATGTAGCTCAGTGAGAAGGAGGAGGCTCTGGGTTCAATTCCCAGTACCACAAAACATTAAAAAAAAAAAAAAAAAAAAAAAAAAAAAAAAAAAAAAAGATGAGCTCAGGACCATGATAGAAGCCATAAAAG